TATGAAAATTCTTATTAAAATAGACCTCGGTCTTGAAACTTGAGTGAGTTTCATCCTGATTACAAAACAAGTGTTTTGATTTTTTTCTAAAAGCTCGGCAACTACAAAGTGCAAAACAAAATAGTTGATATCATTATGAAGCTGAAACCTTATTCTAGCATTTTGCCATTTTTTTAAGTTTCTGGTAACATTGAGTTTTCTACGATTTTTCGAAATTTCAGTTTTGAATTTCATTATTCTGTCAAAACAAATGCAAAACATGTCTTTCAATCTGGGAGTGTAATACGATTTCTTCTAAATATTGGAAAGTAGAAAGAATAGAGTGAGAAAATGAGATATCATTTTAAAGAAGGAATATTTTCCTACAGTTTGGTATAAATTACAAATGCTAAATGATATTGGTACAATGTAAATGATTTTATTTCGAAACATGTTCAAAATTTTAAGAAGTGCATCAATAAATACACCAACACGCGGTATTCTGGGAAGGGTTAAATATCTACTTGAAATAGATGTGACATTGACATACAATTTAAAAGCTTAGTCTTTTTTCTATCACATAGTGTTGGTTTTATGAAAATGGTGATAAAAATTAACGAATTAGCTATGATTTTTCAAAATCCCATGTTTATAGTTCACATTGACGCCATTTTGATCTTTGTCGCCACACCGACGAGGTTGGAAATTACAGGCAAGAAATGTATATAAGACTTCCGATTGGGATTGATTGTGCCATTTTATACACGATTTTAATCATTTATTTTTTTGTCAAATACTATTTGTATACTTAATCATTGTTTGGTATTGCAGTTTGCCATTATTAAGCTTTGCAGCAAATTACCACAAGCTTAAAAGCAAAACAGTTCCTTCCTTTTTTCTAGAAGAGCAGTAGTCTAGAGGTCGCAAAATATTCCTTCGGTGTTAAATAAATAATATGCGAATGTCAGAAAGTTTAAACTGTTTCTAATTAAAAAAAATTATTGCACCGCAGCATAATTTAGCATTTATTAACAGGTGAGCTCGGCGTGATTTCTTTTTGACACCTTAATCAGGGACAGCCTATAGTTAGTAAACACTGTTCCTGCTTAAATATATATACGACAAAAATTAGCTTATCAATAATACATGATAGATTATACCTTCAAATTGGATATCCCATACCAGTGTTTATTATAACACCTATTATCTAAGTTCTTTTATCTAGACAAAATACTACATCTGTTCACATACTTCTTCCTTTATACTTTTCTATACCAGTCATATTCCAAAATTGAAAAGTTATTTTTTAACTTTTTGCATTACCTTAAATCTTTTTAAAAACTCGTATAATGTCAGATTTCATCTATTAATTGATCTTAATTGTTGCATACCTTCGTGAAATATCAAGAGGAGGTACAAGAAAAATTTTTTTTTTCAGAAGTAACTTTGTTTAAGGTATTATTTTTTGTTTATTTCATTTAAGGAATTGTATATCTAAATAGACAATTCCTTGTTTCATTTCATGATTAAATGACCAAGTTCGATAACTACTGCCAGATAAGTAATGAGCCAGTTAGAGCAACGGGATGTAATTAACACACCACCCAAGTCAGAGATGCATCATACAATTTTCTTTGAAGTCGGCCACGTTTCCATTCCTTTTAAATATACAATTCCTTGATATTTCGAAGAAATGTATGGTTATTTAAATTTATTTTCCTTAAACTTCAACTCTTACAAGTTACAACTGTCCAAAATGAAATATATAAAGACTAAGGATTAATGTGCTAAAAAAAAAAAAAGAAAGAAAGAAATAGAGGAAAATGGAAATAAAAAAAGATGCGTTATGAGTGCCAATGAGATAACTCTCCATCCAAGTCACAATGTCAGGGGCGGATCCAGGATTTTATGTTTAGGGGGGTGCGCAAACTTTAATTTTCGCTAGGAGCGAGGCAAACATTTTTTTGAAGTAAAATTATCGAAATATTCTTTATTAAGCTGAGGACAACACATGCTTAGCAAATTAATGGGGGGAGCACGCCTGCCACGCCCCCGCCTGAATCCGCCCCTGAATGTGTAAAAAGTAAACAATTATAGGTCAAAGTACGGCCTCCAACATGGAGCCTTGGCTCACACCAAACAGCAAGCTATAAAGGGCCCCAAAATGACTAGTGTAAAACAATTCAAACAGGAAAACCAACGGTCTAATCTATATAAATAACGAAAAACGAGAAATACTTAAGAACCACATCAACAAACGACAACCACTGAAACAGGTTCCTGACTTAGAATATTAAATAATGCAGAAATCATTATAGACCGCCCTCCTCACCCAGACCCTCATATATAGAATAACACAACTTCACAATACATCTATTATTTACCCTATGGAACAAAAACCGTGAGACAAATTATATGTATCTATATGAAAACATAGTAAATGTAAATATCTAAGTGACTTTTTCAATTTCTACAGATAATTTTGTGATAGAGACAGAATGGGTGTGATGCTGAAGTCAATACTTGTTGGTCTGGTTGTACTGATTTTGTCCTATGTTGTCATAAGGTTGTTCACATTTATAAGATGGTACAAGAAAATAAAGAAAGTATTGTCAAATTTTCCAGGACCCAAACCTCACTGGCTGTTTGGTAATGCATTGCAAGTAGGTACTTTTCATTTATGTTCTCTGTAGATAAAGGTTAAATTATATGTTACAATTTGGAAGAAGAATACTTATTGCTATTTTGTGTATTTTTCCTTTGATCTTTTTGTTGATAATTTTTCTTATTGCTATTTAGTGGTATATATATTTCCTTTGATCTTTTTTGTGATAATTTTTAATTTCATGCTACTCGTTTGAGATGGACAATTATCGCAAGAAACTAAGGGCACATGTGCCGTTGTCAATGTTAACATCAACGATGTCATAGGCAAAATAGTGATAAACATATTATCAATGGTCTTTCAAACTGGAGAATGTTTCTCGGCCACATCACATCTCGGGGCTGTTGCCCTTTGATTAGATTGTAGCTGAGCAAAACAATCTTGTTTGAAAAAAACATCTATAGTCAATGATTATACGCAACATATCTTTTCATTTGTTTTTCTGTTAGTTGGCCATCAGACTCTAAAAAGGACTATCAATTATCCCTAGATCATAGACACCTACAATTATTCATGTTATTTGAAATTTAATTTTATTTATTCAAAACAAATTATGCTTGCTTATTATGACATTGGTTTATAGTAGTCATCCATGCCATTGTTAACATTATTTTTTTTGTAGTTGACTGATCATGACTATGCATGATAATTTTTTTCAGCAGGATTATCATAATATTCACCCCTTTGTCCATTCTTGTGCGAGTCAGAAACAAATGCTTTTGGATGAAATCTTGATTTTTCTTTGTTAACGGAAGAGGAAGAAGCCTATAGACTTTTGGGTCAATAGGTTAAAAATCAAGGTCACTGTATTATAGTTTTTTTTTGTTGAAAAATTTATATCCTGATGAAAATTAGTTTCTTGTGTTGGTTTGAAGTAACATTTATGAAGATGGAAGAAATAGGAAGAGGAAGAATCCTTCCTATAGATATTAAGGTCAAAGGTCAAGGTCACACCTCCAAAAAAATGACTGAAAATATAGAATTATGAGGCAATTAGTTGTGTCTGGGTGATTTCTTGAGGTACACATATTGGGACAATAACAAAACTTTTAAAAGTGGTACATGTAGATAGTAGGAAAGACACAGAAGCTATTCATTTTGAGGTTAATCGACCAAAGGGTGAGCAAAAGAGGCTAATGTAGCTCAAGGCTCTCAAGCAAGCATTTTTACATGATGACAGCTATATATAAATTTAAATTTCACCAGAATCTTGTGTATTAGATGCAATCTCTTGCAATTAGGAGTATTTTTTATTTTTTAGCAAATTTATTGGTCATGTGCCCCTGCTCCCTCTCTCCTCCCTTGGCTTGGCATTTTAGCAAGGGTCTCAGGAACCCATTCCTAATTTTTGTAAGGGTCACAAAGTTTTTTCTGTGTATTATGAATGTGGAGAAAGTATTTATATCAATTTTAAAAGATTTCTAGACTACTATGATTTTATTCTACCCCTGGAAACAAAGTTTGGGGTATCTAAGAATTAGGCTGTCTGTCTGCCCATCTGTCTGTTGGTCTTGATGAGCTTTTTTATCATTTGTTTGAATCACTTCAAGCTTTGTAGAAAAAAGGATCGTGATATGCAAATATTACCACGTGAAAGATTTTCCCACTGGTTTGAATATATATATACCCATATCTCTTTTCACTCGTATTACGTTTTTTTTTTGTAGATTGGATGTTTTCACGATTTTGTGTGTAGAAATCACGAAGAGTATGTAGAGAAACAGAATGCTAAAGCTTATACTTTCTGGTTGTTTATAAACCGTCCAATTCTTCAACTAACACATCCTGATACTATCAAAGTTTTAATGAAGTCTAATGCACCAAAAGCCAAGTCTGGAGCAGGATATTTGTTTGTGTTACCATGGCTTGGTGAGTATAGCTAGATCTTGTGAAGGACTCTTGTTTATGTAACCATGGATTGGTGAGTATAGCTAAATCTTGTGAAGGACTCTTGTTTATGTAATCATGGCTTGTTGAGTATAACTAAATCTTGTGAAGAATTCTTGTTTATGTTACCATGGCTTGGTGAGTATAGCTAGATCTTGTGAAGGACTCTTGTTTATGTTACCATGGCTTGGTGAGTATAACTAAATCTTGTGAAGGACTCTTGTTTATGTAATCATGGCTTGTTGAGTAGAACTAAATCTTGTGAAGGACTCTTGTTTATGTTACCACGGCTTGGTGAGTATAGCTAACTCTTGTGAAGGACTCTTGTTTATGTTACCATGGCTTGGTGAGTATGACTAAATCTTGTGAAGGACTCTTGTTTATGTAATCATGGCTTGTTGAGTAGAACTAAATCTTGTGAAGGACTCTTGTTTATGTTACCACGGCTTGGTGAGTTGTTTATAAACCGTCCAATTCTTCAACTAACACATCCTGATACTATCAAAGTTTTAATGAAGTCTAATGCACCAAAAGCCAAGTCTGCAGCAGGATATTTGTTTGTGTTACCATGGCTTGGTGAGTATAGCTAGATCTTGTGAAGGACTCTTGTTTATGTAACCATGGATTGTGAGTATAGCTAAATCTTGTGAAGGACTCTTGTTTATGTAATCATGGCTTGTTGAGTATAACTAAATCTTGTGAAGAATTCTTGTTTATGTTACCATGGCTTGGTGAGTATAGCTAAATCTTGTGAAGGACTCTTGTTTATGTAACCATGGCTGGATGAGTATAACTAAATCTTGTGAAGGACTCTTGTTTATGTAACCATGACTTGGTGAGTATAACTAAATCTTGTGAAGGACTCTTGTTTATGTTACCATGGCTTAGTGAGTAGTAGAAAGATTATGATGAATTTTGTTTATTTTATCATGCCTTAAATTTGTGTGAAGTTACATTTGGTGACATACTCTTGTTTGTGTTATCAATGATTGATGAGTAGTTTAAGAATCTAACACTAAAGGTTCAAAACAAAACATTATCATGTGCTCGTAATGGAATGGTGGTAATAGATACCATATTTTCAGTAGTGTAAGGTCAATATTTTTTTTCAGAAAGTTGACAGGGCTTTCTTATACTCCAGTTATACAGACTTATGTAAGACTTTTGTCTGAAATCCAGGTACAAATTATGAAAAAATCCAGGACTTTTGACTGTATTAATAATAAATTTTAAAAATCAGTCTATACTAATTTTACAGGAGACAGTTTACTAGTATCAGATGGACCAAAATGGGAAAGAAATAGACGTCTGCTGACACCAGGTTTTCACTTTAGTGTACTGAATGGTTACTTCAAGGTTTATAATGATGTAGCAGATACATTATTGGTAAGTATATGTACATTTATATATCTTATTCTCCTCAAGGATTCATATAGTCTTATTATACAAATCCTTGTTCTCCTGATACATTTTTTATATTGACCAAGTTTGATTGTCATTTCTTCAGGTGTCTTCCAAGACATTTGTTGTTGTTATATTGTTGCGTCTTTGGTTTCATGATATGTTAAAATTCTGCTATGATTTTAAGTTTCATTCTAGTTAGGATTATAATGCAAAATGGATAAATTTTGTGATTTCAAAGTCCTAACCAGTCTGCCAGGTTTTATTTTCACGTTTTTCAAACAGGAAATAAATGATTTTAAATTCCCAAGAATTTTGTTTATTTTCACAAGTGAAAAATGAAAGCTTACACATTATGGCAATCAGCTAGCTAGTTAGCTAGCTAGCCAGAGTACTATCCTTGATTTATTTTGTTTCTCAAAAATTAATTTGAAAAGAAAATGAAACTGAATGATATAATGAATAGATATTAAAGATAATTCCGTGTTTTTCTATGAGTTATATCTTTTACTATTGAAAATATCTCATTTTAATTTATTATATTCAATATAGGAAAAATTTGCAAATTCCTGTAAAGATGGTAAATATATAGAAATTTTCCAACTAGCCAGCCTGGCTACATTGGATACCTTACTGCAATGTTCTTTGTCATACAAAGGGAATGTACAACTTGTGGGGTAAGGTTATCTACAGGATTGTCACTTCCCATCACTTGGTTTATTATATACAACAAATACATATACTATAAAATGTATACACAGAAACATACCTGCCAACTTTTGAAAATTCCCATGGGTGTTTTAGTGCACAACATTTTCAAAGGATACAATTTTTGCGGTGTTTTTGTGTGCACTGTATTGAACTTGTACTCCATAAATAGTGTCATATCTTTTTATTTTCTTATGGTATACTGATGAGCTAATAAGCCCTTTTCTTCTGTTCATTTGCATGTTTTTGTACTTATATTATTGGGTATAAAAGATAGTACATGTAGCTATAGCTCAGGTAGAATACCAGTTTAAAAATATGGACAAAGAAGGAAATTTATCTGATTCCTAAGACAGTAATTTCAATAATTTGATAATAAGTATGACAGTCATTCAGGCCACCATAATCAATGTTCTGGTCTCTATCAGTCTATATTATTGCAGACTTCACAAAAGGCATGTTGAATTTGTCAGTCAGACACACTTTTCTTCTTAAACTGCATAAGAACCTTCTTGCAGATGAAAATTTGTCATCCATGATCACGATATTTACAATTCTGCCATACAGACAGAGTAGTACAACTCAAAATTTCCAAACAAATTTGAATTTTTCCATGTTTGCAATGCCTCATAATCATGAGAAACATTGATTTTGATTAGCCTATTAACATAATCACAAGGAACACCGATTTTAATTTGCTGATCACAATTGTTTTCCTTCTGAAAAGTTAAAAATCAGGAGCCAACAAACATTTTGCATAGAATTTCACAAAATCATGTTTAAGAGCTTTTTTCATGATCACGATTGTGCAATCGGGACAAGGGGTCAAAATCCTGTAGATCATGTCTAAATCATGAGAGTTGGCAGGTATGCAGAAAATAGTGTACCAATTGACCTTAAATCAGGATAGAGTGGTTAATCAACATTTTTATTTTGATTGAAGGGCAGGATCATTTTGGTGATAAATAGTGATTGGACATGAACTTATACCTATTAGCCCAAAAGTCCAAAACTTTATTGTCTGAATGTTGAATTGATGAATCAACTTGAAAGAGATTTAGGATGAAACCTGATATCAAAGTCCCTGCAATTTGTGTAAATTCTTTTCCTAAATCTAGCCTAAAATCGTTCACAAACTGTAAAGAAATCATAATAAAATTCATGAGTAGTTTCAATGTTGTATTCATTTTTTTCCAAAGTTAAAAGTTTGCATTTCAGTTTGGCTATGAATTAAAGATCTTTTTGAAAACTTGTACAAAAAACAAATAGAAATCAACTGAAACAAAATGAATCAATAAATTTACCTTTGTATTTTCAGTGAAAATCATCCATATGTTAAAGCTGTGAAAAGATTGGTGACACTGGTTTTAGCTAGAGCACTGTAAGTTACAGATTACACCATTTTTATACGCCCGTTTACGGGACGTATTATGGTATACCGTTGTACGTCCGTCTGTCCGTCTGTCCGTCCGTCTGTCCGTCCGTCCATCGTCAACATGTCGGACATTAACTCAAAAACGCTTTAACCAATTTGCTGAAAACTTTGGTGAATTGTTTATATCTATTGACGTGAGCTCCCTTTCGTTTTTTATAAATTTTAGATTTTACGTTTCCGAGTTATGGGGTTTTATTCATTAAAAAAAGGGGGATTTTCCAGTTTTCAGACAATAACTCAAGAATGCTTTCACCAACTTGCAAGAAATTTTGGTTAATTGTTTATATCTATTGACATGAGCTCCCTTTGGATTTTTATAAATTTTAGATTTTACGTTTCCGAGTTATGGGGTTTTATTCATAAAAAAAAGGGGATTTTCCAGTTTTCGGACAATAACTCAAAAATGCTTTCAGCAGTTCTCATGAAACTTTGATGAATTGTTGATATCTATTCATGTAAGCTCCCTTTAGAATTTTATAAATTTTAGATTTTACATTTCTGAATTATGGGGTTTATTCATTAAAAAGGGGGGGGGATTTTCCAGTTTTCAGACAAAAACTCAAAAATGCTTTCAGCAATTCGTATGAAACTTTGGTGAACTGTTTATATCTATTGATGTAAGCTCCCTTTAGAATTTTATAAATTCTATTTGTTTAGTCTGACAACAGATTTACTAAGTATTTCGCAACAGCACAGTGTATTGCACAACAGCAAGAAATCTTTAATTGAATATAAATTCAATTCATATAACCAACTTCAAGTTCTTTGACTACATTTATTCAGAAACCTATAATAGATGTATGTCAAATATTTAATTACAATCCAAATTCAGACCTGTATCAAGCTTGAATATTGTGTCCATTTTTGCCCCAACTGTTCAGGGTTAGACATCTGCGGGCGTATCCAGCTGCGCTCAGCGAAGCAGTTTATTTGTGTTTCATTTGATTTTGATAGAAAGAAGCAGGAAAAATGGTAAAGAGGTGGTTAAGTGTGTCTGTTTAGTACAAAGTAGGGTATATTTAATATTTTATCATCCTGAATATTCATGTAATATTTTGCCACTGATTATTAACCAGGGGTAGATCCAGAATTTTCCAAAGGAGGGTGTTATTCAAGAAAAGTGATGATATACAGCCGAGTGGAGTGAGACGAAAAGTGTTTGGACAATTTGTTGCTAAATATTCAAACAAATTGTAAGAAAAATGATGTATTTGAAAAACAAATTTGATGATGGAAGTGTGGGGGTGGGTACATTCTCTTTGTCCTATCCTGGATCCCCCACTGTTAGCCAACCACCAATCAATCAATCAATGATCTTGTATTATTTGATTCAGTACTTATCCTTCTTGTTTTCCACATCTCCTTTTGCAATGTTTAAAAAAATGGCAGTTAAGTATTTACTTTGAAATGAAGTTTATTTAAAATCTTTATGTACATTTACCTTGGTTTACAAAGTGAAAACAACATGTCATATAAGAAAAAAAACATTTATTTCCTAATAAAACAACACATTCCAAAATAAGAAACTGGTTTCAAGAATTTGAGCTTGTATAAAATCAAGTTGGGTTTTATTTTAAACCATTATTTTGTTTTCAGGAACATTTTTCTGTACAATCCAGTCTTGTATAAGTTGTCTTCTAGTGGAAAAGAATTCTACAAACTTTGCGACTTTGTTCATCAGTTTTCTGAAGATATAATTGCAAAGAGGAGAAAAGAATTGGTAGGTAAAAAATCATTTATAATTAGAAATTTATTCTTCATCATACCTGCCAACTTTTCATATAAGTACAGGAGAACCTAATGTATCTCTTATACATGTCATAAGTGTTTTCAATCAAATATTCTGTGGTTTTGAATTATTTAACATACACTTAAAAGCCGTGATGTATTCACTTCAAATAATTGAGGATTTGAAATGTCATGTCTGATAAACACCTCTCATGGGGAATATCCGAAATTAATCAGGAAAGTTCACAGATTTGTTTTCCGTTGTAAAATGCTGCTAATCATATAAATAGAAATCCTTTTCATTTGCAGTCTGAAAATCAAGATTCTCAGAAGAAAACGCAGTTAGATTTTTTGGACATTTTATTAACAGCAAAAGATGATAATGGCAATGGACTGACAAACAAAGAGATCAGAAATGAAGTAGACACATTTATGTTTGCAGGTATGATTTCATTTGTATTGTATTTTAATGTAGAATTTATATATATGTGTCTGGGAAAGTCCAGGATATCACTCTATTTAATGGAAACCTAAGTGTGTCTATTTTGTCTAGTTATACCCAACGCTATAAAGTATAATGCTTTATATCAGATTGCATACTCACTTGGATAAAATTGAGAATGGAAATGGGAAATGTGTCAAAGAGACAACAACCCGACCATAGAGCAGACAACAGCCAAAGGCCACCAATGGGTCTTCAATGCAGCAAGAAACTCCCGCACCCGGAGGCATCCTTCAGCTGGCCCCTAAACAAATATGTACCGGTATACTAGTTCAGTGATAATGGACGTCATACTAAACTCCAAATTATACACAAGAAACTAAAATTAAAAATGATATATGGTCACATATGATAACATAAAAACGCCTATTGATTTTGAGATCACTATGTCTAAGATTAATATAGCTGCTAAAATAGACGGGGGAAAAAGTGCAGAAAATGGGTTTCAGATAGCTCCAGAACATGTGTTTGCACGGAAACATCCATATGTTACATGTGTAATGAGAGAAGAATCCCTATGGAATTTGGGATCACTGCCTCTAAGGTGGAGGTCATTGTTACAAATAATACATTGAAGTTAGTGCAGAAAAAGTGTTTCCAGACAATTACCCCAGAATCTTACATGGGATTGAAGCCCGCCTTTTCATGAATATTTATTAGATCGTATTGACCAATCCAATTGTAAGATATGAAAATGGAATACATATGTTACTTAAAGTAATTTGATTAGAACTGGTCAGTTCAATTTTGATTTTAGATAGATCTATTTGAGCTAATCTGGTAAATCATCTTCTTCCTGTTGAAAGAAAATTAGTGAACATTTTTTAAATTTTTGGTGTAACACTTGATAACCAATTAATATTTTTAGTAGCTTGATATTGTAACAAACCCATATCTGAAACTTTTGGCGAGTCAAACCATTGTAAGAATCTTAAATTTCATCTCTTGAATAAGAAAAGGTCATTGATCTAAGTACACATGACAGTTATTCCATATCTTTTTATTGAAACTGTAAATGTAGATTGATTTTTGAAGGTCATGACACAACAGCAAGTGCCTTAAGTTGGAGTATGTACAGTTTAGGAAAACATAAGGATATACAGGATAAAGTTTATAGAGAGGTCAGAGAGGTCATTGGAGATAAAAAATATATTGACAGGTACTTATTGGAATATATTGCTTTGATATTACTATATACTTTTGTTTTTTTAAAATGGACCAAATCAATTTGAAATTTTTCCGTACACCTCACTCACAGGCACTTGTCTCTGAAAAAAATTGTATAGGTAAAAAAATTTCAGAGACAAGTGCCTGTGACTTCACAAAAGGTTATTCAGCCTTTATAAAATTATTTTATTCAGTATGGAAAACGCATGTAATACAGTAATTATTCTTTTTTGTTTGTTTTTTTGTCATGATCCACGATGACGATTTTATTATGTGTATAAAAGATATTGACAAGTCATTTGATACTGATATTCAAATATAAAGTCAAGCTTTAAATTAAAAAAAAAATTGAAATTGTTTGAATAAAAAGAGATTGAAAGAAAAAGCACTGCAATGACAAAAAATAATCGAAAGACATCTAGAGGGCTACATACGATCTTCAACAATAGACGGGTGTCTATACATGCTATAAAATATTTATTTATAAATTTTCCTGTATAAAAGTTGTTAATAGATGAAACAAAAACTGTCAAAGTCAAAGATCTTGCCATCAACATCAAATTCTTGAAATGACAAACAAAACCCATAAGATACATCATTAGATATTCACTGACAAGGTTCCTGACTTGGGACACGGACATTAATTCAATCTGGGTTATTTTTTGCATCTCAACCCTCCCCCTTTGAAAAATATCAATCATTGGACCAATAAAAGGTACATACAAAGAATTAGTACAGGGAAAGCTAACTTTAAAGTAACGATATTATATATACCCGGTAATATTAAATCTCTTTTTATCAAAACTGCAAGTACAAACAAAAAATTAATAAACGATATTATACAGCATCCAAGAATGCTGTCTTTGGTCATTAACATCACAGTAACAACCTTTTTCATAAACTTTTTTTTTTTATTTTTTTTTATTTTTTTTTTTTTTACATTGTACATACTTTATTGAAAAACTTTCACATTTTTTAGTTTGATACATAAAGTACCGGCACCTTATTTATTAAAGTATTACTTAGGAAAAAGTTTTATGTTATAGCAAAATATAAGAAATAAGGAGAAAAAGTCAGAAAAAGCTCCCCCAAAACACTGAGTATGGCTTGCTCTTTCTACTAATACTCGTGGTAGTGTCCTATTTCAAGGAAATTTTCTCTTAAAATGTGTTTTTGAGACTCAATCCACTCAGAATATTTCATTTTTGCAATATTTCACTGAAATAGCATGAAATTTTAACAAATGAGAGTACATACAAGGTCAAAGGTGCATGTGCAGCTTCCCATATTAGGTGTAATACCACCATTGTTTTTCCCCTATTAGTCTTTGTTAAAGTTGCACTTTTCAAAAAATTGTGCAGAATTTATCTTTATTTCAAATAAAGAAATACTTGGCATGAGTAAAGTTTTTTCTATCCAGCACTACAGACAAAATTTCACATAACATTTCATTGCATATAAGATAATAACCATCACTGGAAGTTAACCAATCAAATTTCCACTCCTTTCTTTCCTGTTTACAAGCTTTGGTAACCTCAAGTTTCCAAAATATTTTAAAGAAACACTAAATAAAAAAAGAATGGTGCTTTGAAACACCCAAGATATATGTTTATGACTCAGAAATATTTTACCGCAATGAAATGTAGGATTAATTTCCTACAACTGTCAAATTCAAGGGAATATTTTTTTTCAACCCTTTTTCATATGCAACTAGATGTGATTACTATGATTTGGTGGTATTAAACCTTTTATAAATTGAGTAGAATTTGGCTTAAAACTTTCAATTCTTGTTTTTCAGTGATGATATTTCAAAAATGAAGTACTTAAGCATGTTCGTAAAGGAAGTATTACGATGCCATACCCCAGTCCCTACAGTTAGTAGGATGTTACAGGAACCTTGTGTGGTGGAGGGGGTAGAATTCCCAGAAGGCAGCATTTTTGGTCTGAGCATGTTTGATGTTCACCACAATTCACACATTTGGCCTGAACCATGGGTAAGTGTTTGTATATATTAATACATAAAGGGATCTAAATGGCCATAAGTTGTGTCAAGCTGTGACATATTGCCACAGAAAAATCGGAAATTCCTTGAAAAATAAACCACTTTATAGTGAGTAAAGAATATTATTTGAAAAGCAAGTCTACAAAATTCTGCTTTAAGGATCATACACACTAATATAATAAGAAATACCTATAAATGATTTCATATGATGAATTCATAATTAATCATTCAAAACAAGATGTTGTGTAGTGCCCATTAGAAAATCCCATAACAAAGGGTTATTATTAGTGAAGGTCTGGATCAGGGGTCCTGCATTTCTTTGTTCTTTAATTTTTTACGTCGTTTTTCTCTATTCTTTATATTTTTTGCCCATTATTCTCTATGCTTTATATTTAACACCCCATTATTCTCTGTTCTGTATTTTTTGCCCTATTTTTTGTCTATTCTCTATTTTTTTGGGTCCTTTATTCTGCAACGATTGCCCATTATTATGTATACCCGTCCAGACCCTCATTAGAAGGCTGTAATAGTTAATGATATTAAAAGGGGTGTTTTATTTGTTGTTCATATGAGGTATTTTAAGCCACAAAAATGTTCTCTGACGTAAGTATTTTGACAATTTGTTACTACAGTAAGACATGTACAAGAGCTTCTTTAACATGTATTTTCAATGATTCGAAGAGCCCCTTGGTATTATTAATAAACAAATGTGGCCCATTCAAAATGGTGCATATTCAAGATACAATGTATTCTACCCTACAAATTTCTCTCACTTCGGACTGTGCCCTCAGAGAAATAATCTTTTACGGTTGACAATTCTGGATATTCATCCTTTTCAAGGTCCATAATTATATATTCTCAAAGAAAAAAATAGTATAACATATAAAAAATAACAACAACTCTAACATCAAACTTGTTGAAATCTACATCCATTTTCTGACACCTTTTTGAACTAAAAACCAGAAGTTAAATTCCTGTATTAAGCAGTTTTTGTCTGGCCTTGACGGAGTCAAAAAGCGAGACATTGGTATGCTGTTTCCGGCGTCGGCGGCGGCGTCAACAATGTATTAGTTCGTGATTAGGTCTAGTTTATGGTGAACCACTAGTGGTAGGTCAGTGATATTTGGTATGCAGTTGTATTAGCATTAGCACATCTCATTACCATAGAGATTATTTGGCCCGCCCCCTCAGTCATGGTCTATTGACTTTGAAACTTTGCTTAGTTTACATGTAATAGTTTGTGATTAGGTCAGTTTATGGGGAACCATCAATGATATTTGGTATGCAGTTGTATAAGCATTGGTATATCTAATTTCCATGGAGATTATTTGGCCCCGCCCCCTCAGTCATGGTCTATTGACTATGAAACTTTTGCTTAGTTTTCATGTATTAGTTTGTGTTTAGGTCAATTTAAGGGGAACCGTTAGTGGTAGGTCAATGTTAATTGGTATGCAGTTGTATAAGCATTAGCACATCTCATTTCCATGGAGAATATTTAGTCCTTACCCCTCAGTCATGGTCTATTGACTTTGAAAATTTTGCTTCGTTTGCATGTATTAGTTTGTGATTAGGTCAGTTTAAGATGAACCGCTAATATTAAGTCAATGATATTTGGTAAGCAAATGTATTGGCATTTGCAAGTTTCATTTCCATGGAGATTATATAACCCTGACCCTCTCATTATGGTTCATTGAACTTGAAACTTTTACATAGTCTACAAGTTAATGTTTGTGTTTAGGTTTGTTTAAAGGGAACGACACATGAAAAGTCAATGGTATTTGGTATGCAGTTGTATTAGCATTGGCACATCGCATTTCCATGAAGATTGTTTAGCCCTGTACCTTCAGTCATGGTTCATGGACTTTGAATATTTGCATAACTTACATGTTAAAGTATTGCTATTTTAATTTCAACATTTGCATTATCAAAATAACAAAAAGGCGAGACATATCTCTGTGTTAACAGTTTATTCTGTATAAGACCTGTATTAACGACCTGTTCTCAGTCAAATGGAATTGTATTAACTGGACAATTATAATGTATTTAAAGACATTAGTTAATTAATGGTGTAATTAGTCCCATTAATAAGACAATATTTCACCCTATTATAAAGGACTGGATTAGTTGTAGTTTGATTGAAGATAATTTGTGTGGAAGACTCAACTACCATCACACATGTATGGACTAATACATCTGAGACAACATCAACTAAAACACTAGAAAATATACCAAATTTATTTTATCAACTTCTTTGATGCCCTGTTTTTCAGTCACTAGCATACTTATACATCAATCCAGGATGCAGGGAGTATTAGTTCAGCTTAGGGGACAGTTCTAGTTTATATAGACTGCAAAATTTTAGAATCTTTTAGAGTTTAGTTTAAATAAAGTATTGTACAAATTTTACATGTCATATTATTAAAACATTTCAGGAATTTAAACCTGAAAGATTTGAAGAAGACAAGCACCATGAAATGGACCCTTACAGTTTTATACCCTTTTCAGCTGGGCCAAGGTAAACATGAGTTATCTCCCCATGATTATGATTTCAAACATATTTAATGGTTTCTAGTCATGTAAAAAGTAAAATCACAAAAATACTGAACTCCGAGGAAAATTCAACAGTAACTTTCTTAGCTGTACCATGATAAATATAATGAATTAATCAGATTTTAGACAGAAAAAACTAAGGATGGTACACCTATTCTAGCTTGACCAAGGAAAATATAAGTTATCTCCCCATGATTCTAATAATGGTGTCTTTAAGTAGCTTTCTTAGCTGGACCAAGAAAATATAATTCTTAAATCAGATTTTAGACAGACAGATCTTAGGATGGTATCCTAGTATTGTACCATTTGTTAATATGAATCAGGTTTCAGGCAGACATATAGTTACATCTAAAGTTGTACACTTTTCTGAACTATGTCAAAATATCTCCATCACATTCTATTTAAATTTCATCAAATCAACATGTCTTGCTTGGGCCGCCATTTGATATTTAGAGACAAGAAAAGTCATACTTTACACATGTTCAACAACATACATCCAACTTACAAAACTTTAGAGAAGTTTATAATTATAACATACCTTAACCATGACAAGACAGCAATAAGTATTGAAATGCTATTATATTGAAAACTTGGAGATTTTTTACTAGAAAGTAACAAAACTGATTTTTTAACTGGGTTTTCCGCAGGAAGAAAGTGGTGTAAAACAACAAATATCAATCAATCAGTCAAAGAAAAGTAGGATAACTAAATTTGGTCAATGAGAACCTTGCAAAGTCTACATGTCTGTCAGATAGATTTCACCTGACAATGATCTGATTTCATGGATTAGTTATCAACTTTATTAATGTTCGTGTCTCAGATACTATGTGCAGTTGGTCAACTTTATTGGATGCATTGAATGATTGTAATTTGTAAGGTGTACATGTTTATCTGCCAGGATCATCTGACCTTGACTTCTTTTGTTATAAATGACTGGTCAATGTTAAATTTTTGTACTTGGATGTTTCTGAGTAAGCAATAGGTCAACTATGTTTTCTATTTATTGTGTGCGATTTTGTTCCATGTACATTTACTCCATATCCTTTTATTTTCTATTGATTTTAGAGTTTTTCTCTAGTGCTATGTGGAGGCAGTAGAACGTATCCCCGTGCTTGAGGTGTATGCTCTTATAATATTTACAGTTATGGTGTGCTTGTTCATGTGAGAATTTCTCATATTAATACACCGTAAAAATTTCATGTTTGGCTTTTTAATATTTTCTTAATTTCTTCAAAATACTGGTCTGGTCATCTGTTTTATATATTGCCCTTTCATACTATTTAAAACTGCTAGGTTTTCTTACATATAATTCTATGTGCCCCGTGCTGTCTATCATTTGTTGTTTAGTTTTATACATATTGTCTTTCATTTGTTGCTTCAAATGTATTGGTCTTTTGTTGGGCAATGTATGACAAATATATGTTGAAAAACCTCGCACGTAATTATAAATTATGTAATTCATTGACCGCTCCCGACATGTGTAACTTCAAAGCATATTTTAGCGGCGATCAATGTCTTTCAAAACTACTGCACTTTTCTTGTGTCCCTGGTGCTTTCGACTCAAGAACTGTTGTACACAAGCATCGCACAAGTTGGCACTCCAAGGCGGGTGGGGAGCAAGCAGGTGAGCTGTGGTTTATTTTTGTCGATCCTGCGACTTTTGTCGCAGAAAGCTCGTCATAGGGATAGTGATCTGGCGGCCTTAACTAACTTTTTAAAAGCTTTATATTTTAGAAGGTAGAAGACCTGGATGCTTCATACTTTGTATATAGATGCCTTATGTTACGAAATTTTCGTCTGTCACATGTCCATTATTCTTGACCTCATTTTCATGGTTCAGTGACTACTTGAAAAAAAAGTTAAGATTTTTTGTAATGTTAATTTCTCTCTTATTATGAGTAATAGGATAACTATATTTGGTATGTGCGTAATTTGCAAGGTCCTCAAGCCCGTCAGACAGTTTTCACTTGACCTCGACCTCATTTCATGGATCAGTGAACAAGGTTAAGTTTTGGTAGTCAAGTCCATATCTCGGATACTATAAGCAATAGGTCTAGTATATTTGATGTATGGAAGGATTGTAAGGTGTCCAACTGGCAGGTGTCATCTGACCTTGACCTCATTTTCATGGTTCAGTGGTTATAGTTAAGTTTTTGTGTTTTGGTCTGTTTTTCTTATACTGTATGCAATAAGTCTACTATATATATTTGGTGTATGGAATGATTGTAAGGTGTACATGTCCAACTGGCAGCTGTCATCTGACCGTGACCTAATTTTCATGGTTCAGTGGTCAAAGTTAAGTTTTTAAGTTTTGGTCTTTTTTTCTAATACTATATGCAATAGGTCAACTATATTGGTGTATGGAAATATTTTATGATGTACATGTCAGTCTCACAGGTTTTATTTGACCTTGACCTCATTTTCACGGTTCATTGCTCAGTGTTAAGTTTATGTGTTTTGGTCTGTTTTTCTTAAACTATAAGTAATAGGTCAACTATATTTGTTGTATGGAAGGATTGTAAGCTGTACATGTCTGCCTGGCATGGTTCACCTGAACTCATTATTTATGGTTCATTGGTCAATGTTTAGTTTTCTTGGTTAATTCTGTTTCTTAGAAACTATAAGCAATAGGTCAACTATATTGTATTGAATGATTGTAAGGTGTACATGTATTTCTCATTTGGTTTATAGACCTTGACCTCATTTTCTTGGATCATGTTAAGTTTATGTGATAGTTGTAGTAAAGCTTTATATTTAGGACTATCAACATCATATCAATGGTTAAAGAAGGCGAGACATTTCAGCTTGTGCACTCTTGTTATCAATAGTACCGCTTAAGTCGACGCTAGGGGCCGTCTTGACCTTGTTGTAGGGTATGAATGATTCGTTCATTGTTGAAGACCCTACAGCAACTCTCAAGATGAAGAACAGGAATAAAAGCCCTGTTCATTGATAATTTTCAATGTTTTCTATGTATTGTGTGCGATTTTGTCCCATGTACATTTACTCCATATCCTTTTATTTTCTATTAGTGTATGGAATGATTGCAGTTAGAACATGTCTGTCTGGCAGTGATAATCTGACCTTGACCTTATTTGCATGGTTCATTGGTCATTGTAAACTAGACATCGTTAGGTCCATTTTTCAGATACTATAAGCAATAGGTCAACTATAGTCAATATTTGGTGTAAAAAATGATTATAAAGTGTACATATCCATCTTGCAGGGTTCATCTAACCTTGATTTCATGTTCTTTTGTCAATGTTAAGTTTGATTGATAATGTTGAGTTTATGTGATATTTTAAAGACTTTTAACATAATATGATCAGTAAAGTAGACAAGACATTCCAGCATGTGCTCAGTGTAAACAGTATTACTGATCTGTTTTATATTGTAAAGCAAATAAAAATTTATGAAAATTAAACATGTAAATATTTTGTACAAAAACAATATACCCAATATCACTTTTTACTCATACCGGTATTTATTTATTTCTTCTTTAGGAATTGTATTGGACAAGCATTTGCACAGCATGAAGAAAAAGTTCTGATTGCAAGAATAGTTAACAGGTATGTTATCTATATAATTTAATGTTATAAATATATCTTATGGGTTGAGATTTAAAAAATAAATACTTTAAACCCGTCACATGTTCAGGTGCCTATCCCAAGTCAGAAGCCTTGCAATCGTTGTCTTTATTCCCTTTTCGGGGGAATTTGATGTTGTTGGCAGGATTATAGTAGTATCTGTTAAAAATCACAACCTTTTTTTAGAGCTTGACGTTGTATAGACACCAGTTTATTGTTGCAAACTGTATATTGACCTAAAGATTTTTTTTGTGATGTTGGGTTGTTGTATGCTCAACATCTCCTTTTATATAGATATCTATTACAGAAGGATAATATATTGTGATCAATGGAAGTCGGCCATATTTAAATCATAATGCTTTAATTTACAGATTTGAGATTTCCTTAGATCCTGATCACAAGGTTGAACATTTCATGGAGGTTGTTATGAGAGCAAAGAATGGAATTATGGTCAATTTCAAAGAAAGAAGCTAAAGATTATTTCAGGACATGTTTATCTGAAAGTGTTATAAAACTATTTTTTTTAAAATATTCTATTGCTAACCAAATGAAACTCTTCCACTGTCATCTCCTCTTGGTCAAGGTATTTAAACTTTTGTCAGTTCAATTGTCCCATAGAACAAATACAATAGCTATTGTTCTCTGAGTAGTTTATTTACTGGGACCTTTTAATTTCTTCTGAAAAAAAATCCCTCACTCATTGATTAATTTACCTGAGTAAAAAATTATCTTCTAAGTAGATGAAAATACATGTATCTACTCACAAAACTGTATGAGCTGTTGTATTCATTCAATATCAATAATATATTTTCAATCTGTTCAATATGTACACTGATTTAATCATAAAAGGTTTATTTCTGACAAAATTGTTAACATTATTCCTATTAAAATTTGATTTTTTTTTTTGTGTTCGCTTAGTTATAGAATACATTTAAGAAGGCTTATTTAAACATTGTCATTTTCCAGTTTTTATTTGTCAAACATGGTCGGGCATAATTCCATAAAAGTGATAATATACTTTCTAGATAAATTCTATGACGTTTTTATGCTAAAAAAAAAACATATAAACTGTGAGAAACACGAGATTTTTTAATTTTTTTTTGCAATCAATGGGGTTGCAAGCATTAAGACCCACATTCCTGTTACTAGTCCATAGGTATGCCATATCTATGAATGTTTATTTTATGCTTGTCTACATTTAGACCCACATTCCTGTTCCTAGTCCATAGGTATGCCATATCTATGAATGTTTATTTTATGCTTGTCTACATTTAGACCCACATTCCTGTTACTAGTCCATAGGTATGCCATATCTATGAATGTTTATTTTATGCTTGTCTACATTTAGACCCACATTCCTGTTACTAGTCCGTAGGTATGCCATATCTATGAATGTTTATTTTATGCTTGTCTACATTTAGACCCACATTCCTGTTACTAGTCCATAGGTATGCCATATCTATGAATGTTTATTTTATGCTTGTCTACATTTAGACCCACATTCCTGTTACTAGTCCGTAGGTATGCCATATCTATGAATGTTTATTTTATGCTTGTTTACATTTAGACCCACATTCCTGTTACTAGTCCGTAGGTATGCCATATCTATGAATGTTTATTTTATGCTTGTCTACATTTAGACCCACATTCCTGTTTCTATTGTCAGGAGCTAAATAGAAAAATTTTGAAAGCTCATCCAACAGTTCATTTAGATTTATTTGGCTCAGGACTATTTGAAAAAAGTTTATTAGACCAACCAATGAAGACACTTATTTACTGTAAGTTCAGATTGTTTTTTTTTAAAGGGCTTTAATTTTAGTCATACAGAAGCTGGTTTATATTTTAGTGTGTTTTAAATTGTAAAATTTACAACAAGTATAATGTTGTTTGTATTGTTTTACATGTACATATTATAATTTTACTCGAGATCATTTTTCATAAATTTTTGTAACTGTTTTTGATACATATAAACTTATATTTGTAATCAGTATTTTATCATATTATGATGATTTAATTTTATTGCAGATATTATGCACTGTATCTGTATCGTTGTATCAAAGAGACCAATTCTGGTTTTAATGCTTGACAGGACTTTGCACCTGTGCACTTTTTTTTTTAAAGTCTATGTCACCACAGGTCTAGTGAGACTCACGCATTTTCATGCTTATTTGGCGGCATTTTCCTTTGATCTATTGTTTTTTCTCTTTGATCTATTGTTTTTTCTCTTTGATCTTGACGATTTTGGCCAAATCTCACGCATTTGCATTATTAAAAGTTGGCAGAACTGCAGGTCTATTGTGATTTAGCCTAAATCTGTGAGTTGATTTTTGTTATATTCAGTACATGATTTCTGTGGATGTTATCCTAGATCGATTGCTCTTTGTTGTTTTTGTATTGTTTTAAAATGTGTTGTTATATTATAAACTTGATTTCCTGCTGTAGTCTGAATTTTTTCTGTTGTAAATGTATAAACTTTTCCAGACCAGTTTCCAAATCAGTTAGGTATATATACCTGGGTATATTTGTCTTTCCAAAATATGTTTTAGACAATCATTGTCATGAAATTGAAACTTGGTTGTATTAAGAAAGTGAATTAATTGGATAGCTCATTGATAATCTATTAATTTTGGATTATTATGATTTGTTATTCTGTAATAAGGTTGATAATGTTTTAATGGTTATGAAAAGTATTAAATTTTACATTATATTATATGTACATTTTTATTTCATATGTTATTGACAAATAATCATGTATAAATACAATCAATTGGTTAAATAAAATGTTACATTATTGAATTTTAATTTGTCTTGTTGACTTTTAAGCTCAAACCTCTACTGACAACAATGTAGCCATTTCAGAATGAGAGCAAGGTGAACAGTATATAAACTCACAAATATAAATAATTTAACTGCCATTTCCACTTCAAAATGAAAGAGGTCAAGGAGATGAAGAATTCTCTTAATTGAATTTTCTCATGTTATTGCAAGGCCTTTTATAAATGTACAATGCATGTACACATGTATGGCTCATTTTTAACTCAGGAGATCTTATCTTCTTTATGAGTATGATATTGGAAGGGGCATATCTTTTTTAATTTCTTCAGAAAGTTCTATATTGGTATCAGTGATACTTTTTATGACCCAGCCACAGCATTAAGTGTTACCCTTGTACGTCTGTCTATACATACATCCCAAAATTAGTTTCCGTTCTCTTACTTTAGTCCTCAACCAAATGTTATGAAACTTATACACAATGCTTATTATTATAAAACACAGATCAAGTTCGAATTTGAGTGGCGTCACTTCTACCATTCTGGAGTTGTGCCCTTTATATATGGAAAAATTGTTGAATTTTTCATTTGCGTTCTCTAAATTCAATTTGCCTCAACTAAATGTTATGAAACTTTTAACCACAAAACTCAGATAAATTTGGAATTTGGGTGGCATCACTTTTATCGTTCTCGTGTTATGCCCTTTTTTAACGTTATTTGCAAGAGGGGGCATCATCTGTGTCCAATGGACACATTCTCCATTTACTTTAATGACATATATTAGTGTTTGTGTTTCCAATAAGATACACCCCTTAGCTAGGTCATATTTGAAAATTTCCTCAGGTCAAATGGTTACTTTTGAGCAAAAAAATTGCAAAAGAAATAAAACCTTTCCCCAGAAATAGTTGGTCTTTATCAGGCTATTTACAGTTTTGCAGGGTGAACTCTCTCATTAAACAAAATACAATAGCTATTGTTCTCTTATTCAATTGGAACTTTAAATTTCTCCTTGAAAAGCCCATCATTCCTTGAATAATTTACCTGAACAAAATTGTTTACTCCCAGTGATGAAAATACATGGTATGCACTTTTCTAACGTAATCTCATTGCCATTTATCCCATAAAACTCAATATAATAAATAATATAATAAAAAAATATTAAATTTTACGACTGCCAAAACCTAAACTAGAGGACACTGGATTTATAAGTGATGAAAAAATGTTCTAATGCAAAATCAGGACAAAAAAATATCTGCATTCAATATTATTGATAATAACAATTATATGATCTTATATGCCACATACGAATCCACTGCTTAAATCAGATGTGCAAGTCCGAAAAAAACAACTTCTATGTCATTTCCAGACACAACTTCCAACATTACCAGTACAATTTCATCTGCTCAAGAAATGTTTGGACAGTCAATTATATACTCATTTATGCCATATGAATATCCACAAATGTATAACTACCATCCTTATTATCATACTCAATATACTGAGCAGCTGTCATTGCCAACTACACCACCACTACCAAAAGGATCACCACCTAAGAAACTTATTTATACTATACAAAGTTTGACTTTTTTCAAAATATGTTTGTGGTTTAAAATTTTAGTGATTTCTATTTCATGACTTCTAAGTGGAGATAACTCGTGTGAAATCAGTGTCATCTTCTTTGAAACTTGTGTTTGTTAGCTGTTTACTTTTTTTTATCACTTTGCACTTTGATGACTTGACTGTGGTTCTTGTACAGCAGTTGGTTAAATTTCGGACCAGAATTATTTGATGAAACAAATTGCAATTCGGTCAAAATTTTTGTTGTACTGCAATAGGTGGACATTCATACTTACAATCAAATCGCTACCACTTATATATGGAATAAAACTGTTGGTTTTGAACATTTTTAAAGGTCACAGGTTCTTTAAAATAAGATGTCAGGTCACAAAGTCGCAGGTGGGATTTGACTATGTTGGAGCCACAGTATATTGAACTGCGTCATAAATCAGCACCTACCATTGAACAGCAGCGTCTTAAGATATATTTTTTAAAACCCATTTGCCAGGTTTGTCTATATTTGCAATGCAATCAGTGAGAACCAAAATCCTTAACACCAACTGTGATCGATGAACCGTGGGAATGAAGTTCTGGTTGAAGTACTGGTAAAATTTAGTTGAGCTCTTTGCCAAAAAATCGACCTTTCTTTTTCCACAGTGTGTTCCAAGAATGACAAACACAAACTAGTCTGTGATAACACGTTTTTGACTGATCCTGAAATGTTTTTACTATCACACCAATCCCATAGACTATGAAATAGAGAATATCATAGACAGCTATTTTTATAAAGTCATTGTAAGAAATCTGAATGGAATGTCATTTTCTTCAAATTGGATACTTTTTCATTAAACTGTGTTTTTGAGATCACTTGTATGTGGTATTTCTCTGCCAATCACATTGTAAATATTGAAAGTGCCAAGTTTTTGGAATTCAATATGGCAACAGAAAATTAGTTGTGGATTGTAATGACAAAACTTGTGCAGGGTGACCGTTCATTACAATTATGGCATATTTGTTATCTCGTCTTTATATGGGTGTCATTTTGTGGCTGTTGTTTGCTGTTTATCATACTTGTGTTTGATTTATAGTTTTGTTATAAATCAGGCAGTTGGTTAATAATGAATTTAAGAAGTAATCTTCTGGACTTGTTTATTTCAATATTCAAAGCACCTGCACATTTCAATAAAAAATTAAAATGTGGTATGATTGCCAATGATACAAATATCCACCATAGTCCATAGGAGTATATATATCTCTCAGTTGATAAAATTTGTTGCTTTATACAAGGAAGCTATTTAACCAAGGGCACTTAATGGTAAATTTGAAGTCATATCTTGGAAAGTTTTATGAACACCATGATGGTTTGGTTGACTATTGTGGAATATTTGAGGGACTGACAAATGATATGTTCTACTTGTCAAACCACAACCCTATAATTCTTCCTAGATTTTGATGTCAACCAAATGCAACTTATCAATTTTACTTGATATGAGGAGCACAACAGGTGATACTGGTGGATGGAGCAGAGAATTGCCAGAGTACATAACCCTTGTGTTTGATGAGGTTTGTCTTGCTAAATACATTTTTTCTGTGTGTTGTTTAGTCTTTTTAGGACCAGATTTAAGATTCGTTTCTATATCAGTGACATGTAGTTTTGTTGATCTTGTATTAATGATTTTTTTTTTTTTAGTTTCTGTCTTCCTCCTATACAGTTCACCATAACACAAGAAAAATTGTCATTAAAGAGCAATAATTCCTAGAAGTCGACTGTACATCTTTTCTAACTAATCTCTTGATAATTAAAAATTCTATCGATCTTTTATAGTTTCCAAGATACACTGTAATAGGTGAAAATGCAAAATATTGGTAAAAATTGTAATTTAGGGACAATAAACCCAAATGAAAGAAAGTTGTGTTGAGCATTGTAAATGATCATGGCAAAAGAACATCTAGATATAACATAAATTTTCTTCATTGGCAATCATACCTCACTTCTTTATTTTTAGAAAATCATTGTAATGGAATAGAATGTTATTTTTCTTCAAATTGGATACTTTTTCATCAAACTGTGTTTTTGAGATAACCTGTACCGGTATGTGGTATTTAGTGCCAAGATTTTGGAATTCAATATGGCAACAGGAAATAAGTTGTGGATTGTAATGACAAAACTTCTGCAGGCTGGGTTTATTACAATTATAGTAAATTTGTTATCTCAACTGTATATGCATCTGTCCCAAGTCCTGTGTCTGTAATTTAGTGGTTGACGGTTGCTCTTTATATATTTATTTTTAATTTATTGTTTTGTTATAAATCAGGCAGTTTGTTTTTTACTCTTTGTTAAAAGGCCATACAGTGACTTATAGTTGCTTATATCCATGCCATTTAAACTGGTGTGTATAGTTTGTCTCATTGACAACTTTATTATATTTATTGCCACTACTAATCTCTCATTTTTGTCATATCTTTTTTATAAATATATGATTGATTCACTCTTCAAATATTTCTCAGTATCAAATAAAATTGGAGAGCTGTTTAGTGTACATTAATTGAACATCTTTTCTTTACATTCACTGCATTTTGCCTCACAAAGCTTTTTTTCAATGAATACCAAGAAGTGAAAAAACTTGCATTGCATGAAGCTAAAAAACATGAACAAAACAACTAGACATCTCTTCAAGATAATTTAATGAAGGCTCTTTAGAACACCATTTGATGTGGGTATTGTCTGTTCTGTAATGAAAACATGGCTCCCAGATAACCAAACAGGTACTTCTTGTCCTTGTTCTTTCTGATAGCATCCAGGACTTGTTTGTCTACAGCAACTTGATCCTCCTTACGCTCATCACTTACTTGGTACACCTGTATACAGATAAAACATAGCTTACTACAGACATCTAACAAGTTCATCACTTACTTGGTACACCTGTATACAGATAAAACATAGTTTACTACAGACACCTAACAAGTTCATCACTTACTTGGTACACCTGTATACAGATAAAACATAGTTTACTACAGACACCTAACAAGTTCATCACTTACTTGGTACACCTAACAAGTTCATTAGTTTCAAACTTGCTGTGCACATTGGAAATCATACTTGATTTGCATTCTTTGGAAGGAATAAGGTACAGTCGTCAAGATATTATAAGGTCATGTTACAAAAATTGTAACACCAATAAAACCTTTTTTTTACCATTTTGAAAAAATTCAATAGACACATCAGTTGGAAATATAATTTCAGTATTAGGGAAAATCAAAACTTGACCTGGATTTCAAGGTAGGTAGTAGTGTTGAAAATTAATAAAAATTCCTATTCTAAAATAAACGTGTTCTCTTTAGATAGGGTGGCAAATATTTACTTGCCCATTTATTTTTTTTAATAGAGCATAAATAATGAAAAGGATTAGTTGGTCAAACTAAATAAATTTTCTAATACATCTTTCAAATGAAATATCATACCTGTGTGAATATTGATAATAAATAAAAAATCTATGGTAATTATCTAGCTATATATTGAAATCATAACACCAAAAAATAGACTGACATTTTATCATCAATTTTAACCTCAATTTTTTACATGAACAATAAATGGAGAATGTGTCCCAATGGACACAAATGATGCCCCCTCTTGCATACAACATTATAAAGGGACAAAACTCAAGAACGATAAAAGTGACGCTATCCAAATTTGTACTAGATCTGAGTTTTTAAGGTAATAAGTATTGTGTATAGGTTTCATAATGTTTGGTTGGGGCAACCTAAGTTACAGAACGGAAACTAAACATTTTGCATTTTCTTCCATTTATAAAGGGGCATAACTCGAGAATGGTTAAAGTGACCCCACCAAAATTCAAATTTGATCTTTATTTTGTGGTAATAAGCATTGTGTATATGTTTCATAAAATTTGGTGGAGGCAAGCTTAAGTTAGAGAACGGAAACTAAAAATTTTGCAATTTTTATATTTATGAAGGGGCATAACTCTAGAACGGTTAAAGTGACACCACCAAAATTCAAACTTGATCTGTGTTTTGTGGTAATTAGCATTGTGTATAAGTTCCATAACATTTGGTTGAGGCAAACTCAAGTTAGAGGATGGAAACCAATTTTGGAACGTACATACGGTTATGCCCCCGCCGTAGCAGAGGCTACAGCGGGTCATTAAATGGATCCAGATTTGACAGTTGGAAACAAGACGGAAATTCTCTATGATCAGCTATCAACTGTGATCAACAATCTGTACTGTACAAACCTCCTTTTTGGTGTCAAATATTTCTCCTTCAGTATGTCTTGGTTTTTTCAACTTCTGTCGTGCAAAGTATTTATCATTTACTCTCTCAGGCAGCTTGATGGAACCAATGTCAATCTTTGTCTTTGTGGCGATCACATATTGCTGATTAATTCTTCTCAATGGACAACCATTCAAATGAAATGGTCCTAAAAAATGTAATGTAATTCAATCATTTGTATGCATAAAATACATGTAAATAAGGAATAGCGAATTCCATTTTAAGCACATGAGTTTAAGTTGCAAGATTGTGATAATTCAGGCTCTACAATGCAGTCTAATGATAATTTTAAGCTCTGCAATATTCTTTATTAACTGACGCAAAGAAATGAAATTCTGATGGAGACATCAGCTCCGTTTTAAAAGAAAATAGAGATTATTCTTTGAGCGTCTTAAAATCTGCTGTATTTGCAAGAGGCTGAGCTAGGATTTTTTATTTCTAGACATGTGCAAAAACAGCTGATATTTAAACATGTTAAACACATATTGTCTTTGTACTCAATAATGTTTTTTTTTTCTCACAAATTCTGTTTTGTAATTATGCATAAAATTTCTGATCTTGATAAAATTAACTAGTTTATTCACATGAATATTTATCAATAAAATTGGACATCGAGGCAGAAACCCAAATGAACAAGGTTTAGTGATTTCAATTAATAATTATCACTGGAATTTACATTCTAGATCTATAAATAAATAGAGGTTTTTATCAGAAAAAATATATTGCTATACATACCAGTAACAAGGAGAAGACCAGATGGAAGGTCCTTTAGATATACTACTCTCTGAAAAAGAAATTATATTGTGACGGTCATGAAATCTTTTTATGCCCCCCTTTTTTTTTAATCTTAAAAACGGTCTTTCAGAATTTTGCTCAGCAGTTTAGTAATTTTTATAATAATTTTTAAAGAATGCATTGTTAAAGGAAAAGGTATGATAAGGACTCTATTATGGACCCTTCATTTGGAAAATCATAAGAATTATTATTTAAATTTGAAAAACTGTCTTTCAGAATTTTGCTCAGCAGTTAAGTAATTTTTATAATAATTTTTAAAGAATGCATTGTTAAAAGAAAAGGTATGATAAGGACACTATTATGGACCCTTCATTTGGAAAATCATAAGAATTATTTGAATTTGTCATTTTGATTTTTTGTGTTTTAACGCCACTTTTAAGCACCGCTTTTGGGCTATTTCGTGGCGGCCAGTTTTTATTGGTGGAGGAAGTTGGAGTGCCCAGAGAAAACCACCAACCTACGATAGGAAAACTGACAATCCTAGTCAATTAAGATTGGAGTCGAGTGCACCCGCACGATCTGGGTTCGAATTCACAACCTCAGTGTTGACTGGCTAGTGATTACAGTAGTAACTACTTAGACCACTCGGCCACCGAGGCCCCTTTGTCATTTTGAGATCTTCTCATAAGTATTTAGATATGAGCAAAAGCTTAACTAAAGTAATGCATAAATTAACTATTTTTACAATTTCAGGGGCTCAATAATGGCTCTTATCATACTGTTTCCTTTCAATCTTTTATGTTCTTAAGATCAAATTAGATAGGTTATATACACAACAGTTACTTTTCAGTCAGAGTCTCAGAGAAGATTAACACCTAAATATTTCATATACAAAATGCTATGATATGATGGGGACCTTTGACGCACCATAGCTGAAGTGTTGTTGACAGTAAAATTATCTACATGTACCAAGCCAATAATTTAATCCATTATTCCACTGTATAACTGCCAAATTAATTTTTTGGTGTATAAATGCAGCATTCTTAGTTAAATATCACAGACCTTTCCCTTATGACGTCCAGCCACAATGATGAGAACAGTGCCAGGGGTGATACTGGACCTAATCTTGTGTTTGTGTTGACTGAATGGCTTCCTACGTGATCTCAGTTTTCTTGGTTTATCTTCTGTAGGATAAAATCTTGGCTGAAAATGAAATTATATCATGTAAAATCAGGATAAATGTACATGTTCATATAAAATCATTTAAAAGGTCTTGTTTGAGGCCATAAAAAAGAATATGTTTGTGTGCCCTAACCCTACCTACCCAGAAAATAGCTGCCTACTCAAAATCTTTTTTGTCCTGATGTGAAAAAGTTTTTTTTTTAATCAGATAGGCATGAAGACTAAAAAACATCTGACACTGCAATTTCTCTTTGCCGAAAAAAAAGAAGAAAATGCCTACCTACCTACCCACTGTCTCTACCTATGGGTAGGGTTTGGGCAAACCAAAATATTTTTAAGTGTGGCCCGAGTGAATGCTTCAATATATTTACAAGTCGAAAGTAAGAAATAGTAGACGAACCTTACAAATTAAACCAGCACTTATTGAATTTACAGCAGTGGTAACAGATCTCAAGGGTAGACAAGGGATGACTAACAAAATACATTTGTACCTCATCTTATCAGAGTTTTCGACATAAGGAGGTTTGACTGTACAAGGTTTTATTTTCCATCCTTCATTTATAAATGTCAATTCACTATAAAGTTTTCATGCTTGCTTACAAAACTATTTTGGGAACTTTGGTACCTATGAAACACTGGGGAATAAGTTTATAGTGAATATAAGAAAGTGATCGATGGCCAAATACTTTTAGTTGGATCTTTAACTAGAAGGGATAAATTAGATATTTAAATAAATACTTGAAACATGCTACTTTTCAAAATCAATTAAAACCCATTTCATCCTGCTAGGTATGAAAAAAGACAAACCTCAATTACAAAAAACTCTTTTCAATCTTTGTTGTAGGATATAATTTTTCCCTTACCATTTACAAACCTGAAAATTTAACCAATACTGTTATATGGACATGATGGATACAAGCACAAATGCCACCACGCCACCAAGCCATGATGTTCTAGATTTAGCCAAACAGGCAACTGTGGTGTATGATAAAGGTATAGCATACAGTAGTTCAGTGTAATGCATGGTATGCTTTTTAAATATATATCTAAAATTCTAAAAATTATTTACCAATCTATTAATCCTAACAAAACGTTTTTTTCCATTTTTATCCCCACCAACTTCTTTGGTGACCATACGAGCCGGCTTCTTCGCTTTTGGTGCCATCTGAAAGAATAAAACTTACAATGTATACAACAATTTAAATGTACATGTTTGTATGCACCATTTTATTTTAATTTGTTATTTCTAGGTTTATAGCTGAATTATTTTTCTTCACTATATGGACCACTTATTCATAAATATAAACATGTACTGTATAATCAGTAAAAATTAGCTAAATCACCACATTAAAATGATTACTGCTTGAAAATAACTTCACAAATTTGATAAAATCTTCAAACGTGTTCAAAGAAAACAAAATTGAACAGATTCAAGTCTAAGTTCTGAATTGAGATGTTTTAAAGGTTAAAGCTACATTCCATTATTTTAATATGCATATCCACTACGGTCTTCAGGATGGAGCATACAAATTCCAACAATGTTTTGTGTTTCTGATTAGCGAAAAAGTTTAAAGTTACGCCAATACACCACACAATGAGTTACTAAGTTGGCCCGGGGCCAGTCGGCATAACGTCAATAAACAAGCATTTCTTACTGTCACATATAACAAAAGCATGTGATATAGGAAATTTACAGGTGCAATTCAAAAGTGTTCCATGATTGAACCTTTATGATCAGGTCTCAAGTTACACCTGCTTCATAAACATTTGTGCAAAACATCAGATGAAATAGTGATGCACACTTATCTAGATAAACTCAACTTGACTCTTAAATAATTATAAAATAACTATATTTAACATGGGCATGATCATGATGGTATTTAAACAAATGGTGTCCACGGTTGCCCCAGATATCCTAAGAAAGAAAACCCGTACAAAACGAATTATTTCATACTATGAAATATCTTTACTAAGGTTAGCATTAAAAACAGAATATACCGACACAGCTCAGTTGTACAGAATGGTATGTTTATGTTGGACAGATCAGCTAGCAAAAAATATATTTGAATGCGAGTCAGATTGATTTGGAGAATAAAAGATCTTCATTTCTTAAAAAAATGTTACAAAGTATATAATCTTCTATCAAATTTGGATTGATGATGTTTATTTATTGAGATATTTTCCGATTTATTTTCCGTTCACGTTTACTTCACTGGCTTACTTTGGTCAACCGGAAGTAAAAGGATGACAGGAAGTATCAAAGGGAGAAAATCGAAATTTTAGTGTTTACCATCACATCATGATGCCAATTCCAGGTATTGTCTTAAATTTTTCGCCTTTTGAATTTAGCAGTATATGAGTGATTAGTTAGCCATAAAAATAATAAATTTCAAGGGTTTTTTTCACAACAGGCGAAGACAGAGACTTTATTTTCTTCACACCAGCATCTTCTTTGGTTACTCTCTTCTTGCTGGTGTTGCAGTTTGTGATTTTTCAGTGAAATTTATGCAAGTGGTTGTAGTTGATTTACCCTGAAATATCCACCTGTGTATTTTATACGGCTATATAGCTAGGTCCAATAGTCCACCCATGCAGGAGTTGAGTCTTGAGAGTTTTGAGTTATTGGCTTTAAGTTATTTATATATATATATGAGTTTAAGGAAGAATTTTAAAAGCAGAAAGATTGAGGCAACTGTACCATGTGTACACAGGGAATGCTAGACAACTCTGAACGATTAAAAAGTCAACTCGGACTGTCTATAATGACAACTCAGACACAGTATTAAAAGAGGATTTGAACTATTTGAATAGACAATAAACAATATTTTATTGGCACAAACGCATTTACCATAAATGGTAATGACCAAATCGTCGGCGAATGGATAAACATGATTAGTAAAATGCAAACAATTATGTGAATATAAAAGACATGTTTAATGAAAATCTATTGCAAAAGATTACTTCTCACATTGAACATGTTGAAACAATTTGAAATTGTTACAAAAGAGGAAGATAGTTTTTAAGTGCTGTGTAAGATTTATTATTAAGTATAAGCTTTATTTTATATTTATCACACAAAGGGGTGTTACTTTTTTTAGTAATTTTGGACATTTTGAATTCAAAAGTCTGTCTGATATTGGAGTACCCTCTACAATAATGTAGCATGTGCTGTTCATTTTCAATTTCACCACTTTTGCAGATTTCACAAATTCTTTGACCCCTTGGCACTTTTAAATATCTTCCTCTTTCAATGCAAGGTTATGAGCACTTATTCTTAATTTACATAATGAGGCTCCATCTGATCTATTTCTTAGAGCATCAAAATAAGCTGCACATTCACTCATTTTGTAAACACGGGAAAAATGTTAATTTTGGAGATGCTAGAATATTTGCATGTAAATGATTATAAATTATTAAATGTTTTATTTTACACAACAGTATCATTTACATATTTGCTGAATTTGCAAAACATAATACATTTGTGAAAAAAATGAATATTTGTTAAATGTGAATTCAATTAAATTTCATCTTATTTTTATCAATTTATTATAAAACTTAATTGTAGTAAAGAAAGTCTATGTTGAATTTGTTTTATTTATTTGTTGAAGTTATTCTTTATTTATAATTTAAAAGTAAACTCAGACCGTCTATATTATGTAAATGACATACTTGTTACTAATGTTTTTTGACTTGAATATATTTCTTTGATTAAGTGTTCGTCTGAGGTCTACTTAGTGCTCAAATTAGATGTTTCTTATGTAAATGACATATATGTAGTTGTTACTTATGTTACTTGACTTGAAGTTATTTCTTTGGTGACATAAAGATAAATGCATGTATAAATTATTTGTTATTCTTTCATTTTAAAATTGGAATATGCTTGGACTGATAACACAGTACTTTAAAATAATCGAGGATATAATATATATTATATATATGCAAAAATAAAGAAGCTACCAAAACATTACAAACATTTTTACTCTATACTCATACATGTACAGCCTTCAAACAACAGAAATCAAAAATCTCCTGAGCGTCCTTCAATCTTCAACAATAGACAGATGCATGTTAATACACAAATTTTTCAGAGTCTATAAGTTGTGATTTTGAATGGTCTATATAGAAGTCTCTTCATAGACGGTTCAATTGTCATTTTCATCATTTTTATAGTCAAAATGGGGGTCTAAACTCTCCCTTTATTCTTTGCATTATAGACGACTTCTCTTCAGACACTGTCTTTTTCATTTAATCATTTATATAGTAAAAACTCTAATTTTATACTTTGTTTGAGTTGGCCTTATAAACAGTCTGAGTTGTCTTCTTTGCAGACCGTCCTAGTTATCTTGCACACTACACAGGCACTTGTCTCCCTCTCTGAAAAAGAATTACTACATGTACATACCTTAATATAACACAAGGTACATGTACCCAACTCACATTTTTGAAAAATGACACTCAGTTGTGAACTCTTGTTATATTTTGATTCCGCAGTTGTTTATCCCACTGAAACTTGTTATGTTGGAAATCAACATTAAATTATTCACAAAATGATGTATGACACACTTATTTCTGTTGTTGGAATTATTTGTTGCAGGCCTTCCATGTAGGTCAACCTTAAATTTTTTCGCCTGCCAACCTTGACGATTTATGGGGTATTTCCTTTTATAGATCTGATCAAATAATCATTTCATTTTAGGAGCTCATTAAAATTTATTATATTCCTGTGCAAGCTGTTTTGTAGTTTATCTTTAATTTTAAAGCAATTTTTTTCAGAGGGACAGATTCCTCACCAAGAACACCAGGTTGAATATAGAGAAAAATACAAAGCATTGAAAAAGAAACTAAAGTTTTTGGTATATGTGAGTATAAAGTAGAGGTTTTGCACATAATTCATGTATATACATGTACATGTACTATAAAAGCTAGTCATTTTTTTTTTCATCTCACACGAGAAAGAGATTGTATCCTGTTTTTGATTTCTCTGTTCTGACATCACTCCATCCATCTGTCATCACTTGTCACTTGAATTCCTGTCATCTTCCATTTCTTGTTGGATTCCCTATAAATAAATGATGGTTTATTCTAAATCTTGAAGTAGAAAAATGAAACCTACAGCCAGGTTACCAGAAAAGCATTGAGTTAAACCCTGGATGAGGTCAATTAACAGAAAATTATAACTTTGTGAATCCTGTTTTTAGCAAAGACATTTACAAATATCACATATTAATTCATGTCATTGGCATACATGTAATTTTCTTCATTTCATTTAAGGCTCCCTTCAAATAGATAATTTTCTTCATTTCATTTAAGGCTCCCTTCAAATAGATTGAATGTTTACTTTTTTATGAAAAAAAACTTTGATGAGTTGGATTTAGAACAACAACAAAAAATAATGAAAATTTCATCCGTTTTCATGGGAGGCGCTGCTACATGTATTTAATTAAAACATGCTAAAATGTATCTTATAATTATTTGTTTGTCTGAATAGGGCCAGCATATTTTTAATACAAAGTAAAACATGTCAAGTATTTTTGGTTCAATATTTATTTGTGAAAGTACATTTAATTCCATGTACATGTACTATACCTTTATTATAGGGCCTAATTATAATACAATGTACATGTACAATGTATGTCTTAGGTTAAAATAGCATTTTATTACATGTACACTGTCAGAATTAGTGCTAATTCTGATTACCTAAAAAGAAATTATGATGAAGTTCAGTCATCATGGTTATAGATCAAATACATGTACATGTATGTAACACAGGAAAATAAAAATGAAGAAATAAAGGTGCTAGAAATTGCAGTAAAGATGAATGGTTGCAGAGCAATATTTGATAATAAGAAAAAATGACACCCAACAAAAAATATTGATTGCCTTAGTATAACAAGGTCTGCTTACAGTCACAAAATTTTATTGAACATATATATACATTATAGCAAAAGTAAACCTTTAATTCATCCTTTAAAAAAAATTCATGTACCAAAAATGTATCTGTGGTACTTATAAAACAATGGAAGAAGGAAAACAAAAAATAACTTGCAAAAAACTTAAAACAAATAATACACAATGCCAACAATTATATCTAGCCAATAGTCTCTACGAAACAAAATTGTCAAAAGAAATGTATGTGAACTGTTTACAACAAAATACGCCAATTTGTGGACATGTTATTGTATACATTTGTTTCTGATATGAGTCTTATGATAATTGAATTCTATTTAGGAACAAGAGTGCTTCTTAGAAGAATTGAGGAAATCACAGAGAAAACTTCTTAAGATCACTAGAGATAGAAGGTAATCATATATAACAGTTTTTCTTTTTATCTTTAAAATATATATATAATTAGGCCAAAATAAATAAGGTTTTCTTTTTTAAAATTATGAACTTTGTTTTCTTGCTAGACAGATTGTTGCAGTATGATTTTTTTTCTCTCAGTTTCTTGGTAAACAGATTGTTACAGTATGAACTTTGTTTTTTAGTTTCTTGCTTGACAAACTGTTACAGTATGAACTTTGTTTTTCATTTTCTTGCTAGACAAATTGTTACAGTATGAACTTTGTTTTTTAGTTTCTTGCTAGACAGATTGTTACAGTATGAACTTTGTTTTTTAGTTTCTTGCTAGACAGATTGTTACAGTATGAACTTTGTTTTTCAGTTTCTTGCTAGACAGATTGTTACTGTATAAACTTTGTTTTTCAGTTTCTTGCTAGACAGATTGTTACAGTATGAACTTGTTTTTCAGTTTTTTGCTAGACAGATTGTTGCAGTGTGAACTTTGTTTTTCAGTTTTTTGCTAGACAAATTGTTACAGTATAAACTTTGGTTTTAAGTTTCTTGCTAGACAGATTGTTACAGTATGAACATGTTTTTCAGTTTCTTGCTAGACAGATTGTTGCAGTGTGAACTTTGTTTTTCAGTTTCTTGCTAGACAGATTGTTACAGTGTGAACTTTGTTTTCCAGTTTCTTGCTAGACAGATTGTTACTGTATAAACTTTGTTTTTCAGTTTCTTGCTAGACAGATTGTTACAGTATGAATTTTGTTTTTCAGTTTCTTGCTAGACAGATTGTTATAGTGTGAACTTTGTTTTTCAGTTTCTTGCTAGACAGATTGTTACAGTATGAACTTTGTTTTTCAGTTTTTTGCTAGACAGATTGTTACTGTATAAACACAGTGACTTGTCTCTGAAAAAATTTTTCCTATGAACCTTAATATAACACAAGGTACTTAACTCACACTTTGGTAAAAGGTCACCTGGTCGCGAACTTCCGTTATATTTCGATTTCTTGGTTGTCTACCTCACTAAAACTTGTTATGCTGTGAATCTAAATTGATTTATCTACACAATGGTGTATAACACGCCTACCTTTGTTGTCGGAATCAATCGTAGCACGCCTCCCCAAGTTTGTCAACCGTAATTATTTCGTAAACCCACAACCGATTGGAAATATAAGGATTGCAGTAAATGATTTATTATAAAAAGTATTTCCAAAACTTAGTTTTTGTCTGAATAGAACTTATCATCCAGATAGTAAATTTGTTAAAGATTCCGCTAAAAAAATCTAATAAGTGTTATTTGAGGTATGTCTTATGAGTTACGAGTTTCTATTTTTAGGCTCAAATTTTCCCATTCCATCAATGTCATTCAGACTCTCTCTGGACTTTACACTCTCTCTGGACTTTACACATAAAATGAGATAACTGTAGAAAGAGATATGTATAAGATAGGGAAAAGATACCAAATGGACAATTATAATTAATCATTTACTGCGATCCTAATTATATTTCCAATTGGTTGTGGGTATACAAAATAATTACGTTTAACATACTTGGGGAGGCCTGCTACGAATGATTCCGCCAACAATGGTAGGCGTGTTATACACCATTGTGTACTTAAATCAATTTAGATTTATGGCATAAATAAGTTTTAGTGGGGAAGACAACAGAGAAATCGAAATATAACGGAAGTTCGCGACCGGTTGACATTTTTCAAAAATGCGAGTTAAGTACCTTGTGTTATATTAAAGTATAAAGGAAATTTTTATTCAGAGACAAGTGCCTGTGTGTATAAACTTTGTTTTTCAGTTTCTTGCTAGACAGATTATTACAGTATGAACTTTGTTTTTCAGTTTCTTGCTAGACAGATTATTACAGTATGAACTTTGTTTTTTTAGTTTCTTGCTAGACAGATTATTACAGTATGAAAAATTAGATGATTCATCAGATGATTCAGATGCTACAGCATCCAGTGATAGTGAAAATGATGGGCATAGTGCAGGTAAAAAGTAAGTGCTTTATGCTTTCTTTATTATATTTGCTGTTATCTAAATAGCAGAAAACGATGGACACAGTGCAGGTAAAAAATAAGTGCTTTATGCTTTCTTCATTATATTTGCTATCATCTGAATAGCAAATATAGGGACTAAGTACTTAACTATTGATAAGGAGTAAGAACTCAATGTTCATCACATTTTTCATTACTGACTACCAATCAGATATTTGGCACTAAACATCATTTGGTTATATACTCTACCTGTATTTTATTTCAATCAAAGGCAAGGGCAAAAGTACATTTTAGCTGGAGATACCTCACACCATTTCTTGATTTTATGCACCCGTGTATCAAGCAAGGGACATATATATTCACACTAGTATGTACATGTGTCCAGTAAGGTAAATTTTTTTTAAATACATCCAGTTTTGAGAATCTTAAAAATATTTTACTATAACAATTGTTTTTGTATATTACAACATCTGTTAACAAATTTGGGTCTCTATAACTTAATACAGTTCATACTTGATTCTTGAAAGATCTAAGTAAAGTTCTGCATGGAGATTCATTTTTCAGAAAAGTATAATGCTTCACCCCTGCAATGTTCTACTTTAAGGTAAAGCTTGTCTGACAGCAAATTTCATTAAATATGATCAATATTTAGTGCATTAGAAGCTTTAATAAAGTTTTGTATTTATGTCCTACTATATAAATCTATCATCTATCATGTTGCTGATTTTTCCTAATTAAAAAAGTTATGTACTTTTATGAAGATTTTCTATGAATAAAAAGTTATGTACATTTATGAAGATTCAGCTGCATGATTATGTCTTGTTACAGGAGAAAAGCACTAGAGAGTTTAGGATTTGAGTTTGGAACAGATCCGACATTGTACATGGCAGCCAGTGCACAGAGTAGAGCTAATATTCCTGTAAGTTTGTATCAAACCAAATTGATAGTATGACATTGGAATGAAGATCTGGACATTTGTTTTGAAAAATCCTGGGTGCATTTTATATAGATACAGGTTTCAAATATTTATATTTGCTAGACTTTTCTGGATTTTAAAATTAAAATCTGTTCCAAATTTGAATGAAATCGAAATCCATTATCTATTTCAATATTTTTTATTGTATAGATAAAAAAGTCATGGTTGAACTTAAGAGAGGTGGGGGTTAGGAAATAAAAATGAATCATTCTGTCACGAATCTCAAAAAATTATCATTAATTCCTGTGTCCCAATAAGTGGGCATCCTGAATTCTGTCAAAAATAAAGGCCCAATCCTGACTTCTGAAAAAAGATTCGCACTCAATTATATGCACCTTAATACTAAATACTTTATAAAAAATTAAAAAAGAAAAAAGATTTGTTTAAGTTATCCCAGGACAGTCTTATGTATAGAAAAATGAATCTTCATTTGAAAAAAAGTATTGTGGTTAAATGTTTGTAATCAAAGAGATATAATAATAATATTACCTTAAATTGAAAGTGTGGTTTAATAAAAAGTTTTTAAATAAAATATCAAATATAAAATTGGACTAATTTGTTAAAGTACACTTGAGAAGTCATTGATTAATTTTAGACTTCATCAGAACCAGTGAAGAAGAGATCCAAACCAAGTGCAAAGAAAGGAAAAGGAGGTTTGTGTATTTTATCAGTACTCATTCATGTAAATGGGTTTTAGGGTATGCTAATTGTGAATTAGATGTATGATACAGATGAAAGATTTATTTGATTAAACTTAACTGCAACTAATTGTGTACCGATCATCAGAAGGATAAAAAAAAAGCTGGTTTGAATTTTTTTGGTCATATTAATGAACATTTTCTAATAAAAGATGGATGATGCAGAACCTGCAGTGCTAAACTTGGAAATCAAAAGTCAAAATTCAGGGAACAATCCATGATTGATTGAAATTTGCAATAAGATAGATATTTATTACATTGGTTTCAAAGAAATACTGCGATTTTGCAGCAGTAAATTAATAACTGATAATTTCCCATGTGTATTAAATAGGTCCGATAATTTCACTCCTCAGATGCCCAACAACAATTTGAGAATGAGGAAAATAAAGCACATTTTGAGAATGAGGAAAAAAAGATATACTTTCATTTTCTACTTTATTTCCAGTAAAAATTCCATGGTCAAAAGTGGTTAATAACTGAATCACCAACTGTAGGTTAAATAAAAATAAAAAGGCTTAAGAAAACGCATTTTAATAGCTTACACCAAGAACTAAAATTGTAGGCAATTCAAGCTGCTCTGACATTGATTGGAAATATTATTGCAAAGTTTTGAATAATGTTTTGTTAGGTAAATTATCACATCAAGAGCCTCAGTTAACGAGAGAAGAAGTAGAAAAGCGACTAGAATCTCGTCAGATTTCATTTGGTATTGAGAAGGCACCAATGATGTTACCAATGGAGATATTCAGCCATGATAACTCTAATCAAGACAGGTATTATGCTTTTAAAATCATGTCAACATTCATGCAAAAACACTGCCTCAGTTATCTCATGGTAGCCTGCTCATCTCAAGTGTGGGAGGTTGTGGGTTTGATGAAGACAGGTTCAAACCAAAGACTTGAACATTTGTATTTGTTGCTTTTTTTGAACTCGCACATTAAAAATCAGGCTTAGCATGCCGGTCTTGTACAAGGCAGGGTTCATATTAATATCACATAATCATGCTCTCACCCTGATTATGCATTTAATTTGCTATTTGAAGTTAAACAGCCATACATCATCCATCAACATCATGCAAAAACATCTGAAATATTCATTAAATCAAATGTAAATGCTTCAAAAGAAAGGTTACATTTATACTTGAAGAAGAGATGAATTGAAGGATATTGCACATTGAAGTTTTAGTGTCATGATTTAGTACATGATACTTCTTATAAAAATGGTTCAGTTCTTTTATAAACACCTCTATGATCTCTTGGTAGCTACTCATCTTGATCCAAAGAATATAAAATTGTTATTTTGTGCTATCCACCAAGCAGGCTGCATTTAAGAGTTAATCAAAGTATGGTTGGCTCTGAGATGGGTTTGTAGGATGACTTGTATTTCTGTCAGCCATTACCTTGTGAGTGAGAACATTGAAAATTTGAGTCTCGATCTAGTACAAAGCAGGCTATTTTCATATTTCAATAGCGTGTTTAATAAGACCCAAATGTGCATTCATTTTTTGCCGCTGAATAATAAATGAAAACAACATGTTATTAATTTCATGCGTCTGAAGTGCTTTAGATTTACCTTCATCAGGAACGCTCAAAGCCAAATATTTGAAAGCCGAGGATGTATCAGGACCGAAACAGTTGAAGAGCTTTATGACCAAAAAGTGCCTAAAACAATAGCCAAATCCATCTTAGGTCAACTTTGCCTGAGGGAGTGTTAAGCAACCATCAGTTAATATTATTCTTCTACTTGAACAGAATCTGTCTCTTGGTCTGTGTTGAGGCACAAAAATTCCCAATATTATAGATGTATGCCTTTGTATTGTCACAGATGATCCCATATGTTATAATGGCTTCTAAGCTAGATATTCTTATAAAATATTAAAGCTATTGAGTGAGGAAGAATTGAGAGAAAATGAAATATAAAAATCTTAAACACAAGTTATCTCAAGGGCATATTTATTCTCATGATAAACTTCTTTTATGTGAACAATTTCATTTTCCATTTTCTACTTCTATACAATTATTAAATTCCAGTTGTTATCTTTCCATCAAAGTATTTGGTTTTAGCCTTTTAGGCCTTGTTATTATCTGTATGAAATCAACGCAGTAATATTACCAAGGAGATGAAAATCTTGATAGGGATAATTTCCATATTGCGACTGTTATAAATGTGACAAATGATAAAAGTAATATATTTATGTATTATGGGTTGAAAAATGAACATATATAAATAAAAATACATAAGGATGCTTGAAAAATATCAAACCAAAACAATCACTTTGTCAGTTCAAGGATGCAAGGATCCAGATTGCCCATTAAACATTTAAATTTCGTCACAATCAGCTTATAGTTAACAAGTTTTTCAGACATGTTTTCTGCCAATATAGTTGTCAAATGTTTTGTCACACCAGTAATTGTTTTAAAATTTGTGTTGTTTCTGTGTTTCATAGTTGTTAATTTCGGATATTATTCCACATCTGTTTTCCAATGCACAGATGAAATAATAACCAGGCAAAAAATCTATTCAAACTGGTGCTAGGGATGTCTTGAACTTGTTAGCCTCAGACTTTGAGATGAAAAACTGTTTCTTAGGTTTTAACAATTCCTGTAGGAATTAGGTATTGTGAAATTATAGACCATAACCCACCTTTTTCATTATGGATTTTACTATGAGGACCTCTGACTATTTGGATTAGAAAACCTCGAAGTAATAATTATAAATGATTCATATTTTTTTCAGTGAAGGAAATGATAGAGATGATGAAGATTCAGATTTAGTGATAGACACACAATAGAGATATGTTGGATTATTTACCAGATGTGTTCAAGTATATAGCTATCAAAATGTATTTGTCTATGTGTTTAACTTCATTTTAATCCTGACAAGACAGAGTGATGATGAACTTACGCGAATTGTTTATGTTAGAATGCTTCAGTGCGTTGGTCTACTTCTCTGTTAACAGTGCTTATGAACAAGAAAAGTTGTTTATCTTCTTTAACACAGTAGAACTGTTACATTAATGATTTAGTGTAGTTACTAACTATACAATGCATAATCTGTTGTGTTGGTTATGTGTACTTATTTTAATAAAATGATATAAAATTGATTAATTTTGCGCTTAATAATATAATATATTTGGTTTTGTCTATGCTCCACCTATGATAGTAGGGGGCATTATTTTTTTCAGTCTGTGCATCTGTTCATTATTCCATCCTTTTGTCCTTTCTGTATCAAGTTCAAATGTTGGTTAAAGGTAGTTGACCATGAAGTCATGGTTACATCAACTTGAAAAAAAATTAACAAAAATACCGAACTCCAAGGCAAATTCAAAAATCAAACGCTATTAATCAACGGAACAAGTGAAACTTTTTACATATTTTCATTGTAATTTTAGAATATATGCCTAATAAGGGATTTGATCCAGATTTCAGTCTACTAAACATAGAAATGTGATTGTGCAAGTCCAATAGGCACATATTCCAGTTTTCATTGTCATTTCAAACTTAAATGTATTGTTAAACCTATCCAATCAGCTGTCTACATGTACCACACTTGTATTGTGAAAATGAGGTTGCTTTAGATATTATAAAAGGTCAGGGTATTTTTTTTTCTCGCTTAAGCTCACATTGTGATGTAATGTTTAAAACTATTTAGACAATTATTGTTTTTATGCTTTCATTTGCTTGATGGATTTTTAGCCTACAAAGGGTAAAAGGTTGCTATCACTTGGCATTCATCATATGTGATCTTACTTCCTTACACTAAATATGAACTGGACCAATCTTAACCAAGTTCTCATAAGGGTTTTGAATTTCATAATTTTATCTTTTGTTGCTGTGAACCAACCATCAAGGCTGTATCTACTGAAATAAAAATAAATCAGGGGTAAAATAGGATGTTGATATTTTGTCTTTTCATAAGAACCAAATGTTGATGAAATAATCTTATGCTTGGTTTCAATAATGGTTATGTTTTCCAAATCTTTTATTAGAGTCTGTTTAGAATTAACTTAATTTGGACATAGGAAATGAGTTTGCATTATGTTTATCTGATGTGATTACTTTTCAGACTTGACTATTGTCCCTATCTGTGCATGCTTAGCAGGAGACACATACCATGTGGATGCACCCAGTCTTGCTCCTTTTGGAGTTCATGCTATTCCCTCAGTTTCTGTTACCTTAATTTGTCTCTTTTTAAATGTATAACGAGCTTTGAACAGCAGTTTTTCTACTGTTCCCTTAATTAGACACTGTAAAAACAAAAAAATATCCTTAAAATCATTGGCTAGTTACAATGTAGATAATGTAGAGATACACCTTGGCAATGTCAGCACTGAACTATCTTTTTTTTAAAGTTATTTATATCTAAAAAGTTACTGAAATATAATTCAGTTTGTGAAGTTGATTATATAATTGATTTGGATATCCCAATGTAATTGACCAAACCAAATTGTATACTTACATACATTGTTTTCAAGGCTCCTGAAATTTTTGTCTGTCTGTCTGTGTGTCCAGAACAAATGGGTTATGGTTGATGACGTGAGTGTTCCTGGCTTCATTAGAATGAAACTCATACAGATGGAAGATAAAGGAAAGGAGAGGAAGCCTTTTGATTTTAGTATCAAAAACCAGGGTTACTATTTCTAAAAATTGAAGAAAAAATAGTTTCTGGATGGTATCTTGAGTTTCCCACCCTTGAATGGAATGAAACTTCTACAGTGAAATTTCTTGCGAAGCCTTTAGATTTTGGGGTCAAAGGTCAAGGAAACGTACTAAAATAGAAAGTAACTGCAAACATTCCTTACCGTGCTCAAGTTTCCCTTGGAATGCACTCATACAGATGGAAGATACAGGAAAGATTAAAGAAACCTATTGATTTTTTGGTCAATGTGTCTACGTCATTAAAAAAGTTAGAAATAAATATGAAAACAATTCTACTTATAAATGTGCAGTTCGTGTAGCTTCATTTTACAGTGCCATCTTTCTACTATATAGTCTTCAAAAGACATAATTATAGCCAGCAGAAACGATCAAAGTATGATTAATTCGTTAATTTTCTGGGTCTCAAGGTGGTTGTCATTGATGAAAAGAGTTAATTGTATGTCTGGCCCTGGTTTATATTATTACATCCTTTCCAAATTGATAAAGTTCGCAGACCAAGATTGCTTTCATGACTTAAAATAGAAATTCGGAAAATCATTTTAAAATTCTGGTAAAATTAATTTTTTGATTAATATAAACCATTTTAGAAGGATTATATATGAGGTGACTTTTCAAAATTCAAAAATTCATAATATAGTAATCAGCTTGTCCATGTCTCATTAGTCGAAAACATACTGACAACTCCATGACAAATATTTGAGATCACAAACGTGAGATATAATTTTATAAGTGTGTAAAGTGATAATGCGTCGCTTAATATGTGCGTTTCTCTTCAAAGCCAGTTATATTTTATAAAAAAATATGCCAACGACTTATAAAGGTCTGACAATTTTATTAAAAATTCTGTAAAGGGATGGAGCAATTATCGGAAGTTTTTATGAAACTTAGAATGAAAGGTTTAGCTGTAAAAACATCTGTGAAAGTATAACACTGCTAACTCTGTTTATTTTTTTGTATGCACGTGTAGAAATGGTTTAATATAATAAGTGGAGCATACATACTTTTTAAAAAGTAAAAAAAAACCCAGATAGATGGATGTAGACTTGATTCAAAGCTGAAAATAAATAGAGGCTTTTCCCATTTCATCTCGTTAGGAAATCTGTAAATCAGACCAACCGCAAAATGAGTTTCACTTTAGATTTGAATGATCTTGATATGCACTCATTCCTTAATATATTTTAGTATTAGATTTTGGCGAGTAATCATATGAAACTGTGACGAACAAGGTTGGCTGTGTTACAATAAAGTATACATCTGTATATAAAAGACACAAAAAATTAAAAATAAAAACAAATTGAAAGGAAAAATAAAGCAAAGCAGTTAAACAAATGATAGTTCCTAATGAAACGTAAAATTATTCACTGATAAGTATCTTAAAATTGTTTAGAAATTCAATCAGGTTGTTCAACTATGTGTCGTCTATGATTCACTTATAAACAATAAAGTATATCTGCATAAAAAATAAGATAACAAGTCCCCTTTTTGAATGATTTCTCGCTAAAATACTTCATTTGAATCTAAATATCTATACTATATCCTGGTAAATGCTTGCAGTAGTTCCAAGTAGTGCAGACGGAAGGAATTTCATATCGATTGCAATCATAACTACCCTGTCTGAGTACTTAAGATTGGTTTCAATTGATGTAGGCGTCCATAGCGATGTAATGTGCATAACTTGCAAAAAAATTACCTTTTCTAAACAGTGTGCAATTGCAAGGTAATAGCTTTTGGAACAAAACGTTTTGACATGCATCACATGATCATAACGAATAAGCGGATCTGTTTCAATTAAAGTGTTTGTCCATTGCGTTGCTATATGGTTATATAATATCGTGGTACTTGCAAAATTAACTGCTTCAATAAAAAGCTTGTTGTGTCCAAGCTAATCATATCACTCTTTTTTGACATACATTAAACAATAAGTAATATACATTTTGAGTCTTAAAATTATCAATTATTTGACATTGACTTTGAAAAACAGGTATTTCAAATAACATAAATTTTTACTCTGTTACTAGTATTTTAGGATATATTTTGACCAATAAATGGGTGTTATGATTTTCCTTTCTGTCAATAGGACGCGATAGTTTGAGGTCGTGCCACGTGGGTTTGAATTCCTACCATAACAAATCAAAGAATTGTTAATTGGTATTTGCTGCATGCCTGCTTAGCTCGCTCCATATATAAGAGCACAACACGGTCGGCCCAAAGTAAGAATAATGTGTCCGGTCATGGTAAACTGTCTTCCTGCGGACTGATACGATATGGGACCTATCTTGTTAAAAATCAATCAATATGTCGATATATTACTAAACGGAGCTCAAATTTAAATATCATTTAACATGTTTCCATCCTGAATAAAGATTTCATTTACTACTGGACATTATTCACCGTTTATAGTCATCATCACCCCCTTGTTCGCCGAGGTCAAGTACTTTGTAAATGGTAAAAATAGGAATATAATTGGTCTGCCGAACTCTTTACAAAGCATTACCATTCTTGGAGTTTCTTATTGATAATATATTTGTTGAATTTGGAGGTACACTTTTTCAACAAATTGTCGGCATTCCTATGCGAACGAACTGTGCGCCTCTCCTTGCCGACCTCGTCTTATTTTCATATGAGTCGCAGTTTCTTCAGACACTTGCCAAAAACAAGAAGATCAATGAGCCTGATCATTTATTTCACATTCAGATATATTGATGATGTTCTTTCCATAAACAATCCAAACTTTTCCGATTGAGTTCCATTAATATATCCTCCAGAATTAGAAATTGAAGAAACAACAGACAAGGCTTCCTCCGCCTCATTTTTAGACTTATACCTCGAATTTGACATCAGCGGTCATCTCAGTACCAGAATCTATGACACACGAGACGATTTTAATTTTGAAATTATCAATTCCCCCCACCTTAGTAGCAATATACCCACTTAACCTGCATATGGGATATACATTTCCCAACTCATTTGGTATTCAAGAGCTTGCAGCTGCTACTCAGACTTTGTAAAACGTCACCAGTGTGTGAGCAAAAAGTTGATGAACCAGGGTTATGTCAAAGAACGTCTCGTCCTTTTTGTCGAGCCTTCGACTTTTGTCGAAAAAGCGAGACATAGCGATCCTACATTCCGTCGGCGTCGTCGTCGTCGTCGTCGTCGTCGTTGTCGTCGGCGGCGTCCACAAATATTCACTCTGTGGTTAAAGTTTTTGAAATTTTAATAACTTTCTTAAACTATCCTGGATTTCTACCAAACTATGACAGAAGCTTGTTTATGATCATAAGATAATATTCAAAAGTAAATTTTGTTAAAAAAAAAATTCCATTTTTTCCGTATTTTACTTTTAAATGGACTTAGTTTTTCTGCCAGTTAACATTACATTCACTCTGTGGTTAAAGTTTTTGAAATTCTAATAACTTTCTTAAACTATCCTGGATTTGTACCAGAC